CCTATTCCCCACCCCTCTACCAGACCACATATCTATCCCCTGTCTGCTTATATTACCAAGGATCTAGGCAGATCCTTTTGGTATAACCTTGCATTCCTCCTAACTGTGGACCCCTGCAATTCCCCTATCCAGACCACACAGAGCTCCAATAGTCAGTTCTCAATACCTAATAATCACATTGGACCCAGAATCCCTAGTGGCCGTACATGTATCTCAGAAGCATTTCTTGCCAGGAAACCAACAGCCAACACAGTCTACTAAGAACCAGTGAAGGAAACTGAAACCGAGGAACAAAACACTCACCCAACAAAGACAAGACCAAATGTCAGCATCTAAAATGACAATCATCCCAAGCCAAGATACTGATTCAGCATTGTAAAAACATAATCAAAACAGACAGAACAATATGAACTCTCTAGTACATAGAAAAGCAATACAATAGACTCTGAGTAATGCAATAGATTTTATACATAGTAAAAAGACATCAAAATAACATTATATATATATATATATATATATATATATATATGAGTTGTTAAAGAAGAGACAAATTAATGCATTTGATGTGTATAATAAATAAACACTGGAATAATATGAAGAAAACAGTTTGACATGAAAATAGTATTGATAAAGAAAATCTAACCTGAGGTGAGATGTGAAGTGAAAACTTTAGGAACTAGAACAAGAAGCCTAGGGACTAGTTTCACCAAGAAAATTGAAGAGATGGAAGAGAGAATCTAAGCCCTTGAAAACAACACAGGAAGAAAAAGGATATCCCAGTCAAAAAATGCTTATTATAAAAAAGCCAGGCACAAAACATGCAGGAAATGGGGGACACTGTGAAAATATCTAATCTAAGAATAATAAGAAGAGAGGAAAAAGAAGAAACCCAGGTCAATGGCACATTAAGCATTTTAAACAAAACCATAGGAGAACATAAAGAAGTAGGGTCATATCAAAGTACATGAAGCATATCACCCAGGCACGCCCGCCCGCCTGGCGCCGCGCCCTGGGGCTGGGGCCGAGCAACGAGCACCAGGTGGGCCGGCACGAGAACGAACACCAAGTGAGCCGGCCTGGAGCCCTGCCCCTGAGCCCCACCCGATGAGAAACACTCTGTCCCAAGGTCTCCGCCCCCAAGGTCAGCCATCTGGACGCGGAAGGGAGGGGAATTGAGTCTGTTGTACCAGACACCAGACCTTGAGAATATGCTGATCTGGAATGGCTCTGTGCCTCATTTGAACCATCCAATAGAATCCCTGCTCCTAGCTTGCGCCTTTTTCCCTATATAAGGACCCCTTTCCCTTGGCTCGGCGCGCTTGGCCTCAGAAAAGCTAAGTCGCCCCGGGTACCCGCGTCTCCAATAAAGCCTCTTGTTTTTTGCATCCAGTTCGTGGCCTCGCTGATTCCTGGGTGTGGGTCTCCCTCTACAAAAGTATCTCTTCGGGGGTCTTTCAAGAACACTAAAGAGACATATCCAGAAACGCCATAAAACCCAAAACACTGAAAATCATCAAAACACTGAAAATGCAGTAAAAGAAAGAAAATAAAACTGCAAGGAAAAAGACCAAATAGCATGAAGGCAGCAGATGTATTAGAAAAACACCTGGCTTCTCAATGAAGAGTCTGAAATGCAGAAGGGACTGGTAGAATGTTCTACAAACTCTGAGACTACAGATGCCACCCAGACCACTATATTCTGTAAAAATTTTAAATAAGAGATGGAGAAAGACATTCCATGATGTAATCAAATTTTAGAAATCCCAATCTGCTTTTGCCATCACAGCCCCAGCAAGGCAGCTGGAACCTGCACCCAACACTGGTAGAATCCTACTGTCCTGGTGCAGACCCCAGCAACAGGCTAGCATCTGAGAGACCTGTAGGCTGTCTGTACCACCACCTCTGCCACCCACTCACACTACCACACCATCCTCCCCTTGGCCAACCATGCCCAGCAACATCTGCAGCCCCTATAGGCACAAATACCACCTATATCAGTTGTAAAAACAGGTGAGTGAATGGTCTCTCAGTCACTCATATGAACAAAAGACCAAATAATAGTTTTAGGAGATGTACAGCCCTGTGGACCCTGACTCTAGGTGTAGACCAGGTTTAGCTTTCCTGCCAACTCTCTCAGCCTTCCCTTTCAGTCCATCTCCATTCCTTTGTGTCAGCTTTGATCCCTACAAAAATTTTCTATCAGTGATCACACAGGGCTGGGACTCAGGTGTGGGGGACCAAAATAGTTCCCTTATGAACCAGCCTCTGGTTTCACTAAACAGGAGCACCTGGAGCTCTGGCCCACTATTGTATTGCTAATTCAAGCAAGTCTACTATCTTTTAGCATAGCCTCAGTATACAATGCCTCCTAGTTTGCATCTCTATGGGCCTAAGCATCTGAATAGGCCTGCACCTAGGCAGAGGTGCAGAGGTGTCAGGGGAGGAAGTAACATGTGAGGATAGAAGGTTAGTGCAATCTAGCAGAGAGGAGAAGAGAAGGACAGGAGTGATCTCCTTGTGGCCATGGACGCACAGTTAAGAAACAGCCAAAACGATGGTAAATAAAGAAAAGAATCTAGTTTTACAACATGGAACTGAGAGTTCTCTAAAGATGACAAGATGCCCATGTTTGGTCTTTATCACCACTGGGTTGCTAGGAGGTTCCAAGCCCACGCTCCCCCACTCAGGCAGAACTTCATGGCTGTCTTGGCTTGGAGCTGAGACAAGCCAGGTCACGACACTCAGGTGGGTAATTTTCACTCTCTTTCCTGTCTGCCATTTCCATATTTCCAGATTCACATTCTTCAAGCAGTCCACTTGCAGGAGCCCCTCCTCTAATCCTACCTCTGGAGACTCTGCTACATTCTGTAGATCCAGCTAGGTCTTTCCTATTGACCTCTCAGCTTTTCCTTTACTCCAGCTTCTTTCCTTTTTGTGAGCCATCAATTCCCACAGAAACATTCTAGCAAGGTTCTCCATTGGCTGCATTGGTCTGGGACTCAGGTAGGTAGTTCTCAGGGTTCTTCCTGTCCTTCATTATGCTTTCTTCAGACCTCACTCCTAATCCTGTAGTGAAGGGATCAGCTCCCCATTTTGGCAGCCATAACAGCGGAACCCGTGCTTGTCTGACCTTGTCTTAGTCACTAGGAGGTTAGATGCTTGCCTTGTGGCAAGGAATCAATCAGAAGTTAGCTGGTGGTGCTATGATTTACGGCCCTGGGTATGCTTTACGGACAAGTGCACAGCAATGATGCACAGAGCATAGTAACCACCCTGGGAGGGCCTATGGGCCATAACAACCAGTTGGCCAATCAACACAGGGCAAGCCCTCCAAGCTTGCCTGGAGGCACACCAATCCTGAGCCTGTGCATACCCCTAGACACTCCCCTTATGCTGCCCTATAAGATGTCTATGCAGATGCTTCGAGCTGTCTTTTCCTAGCCATTCACCATGGCAGGTGGATGAAAGACCCGAGCTAACGTAGGGTTAGCTCGTTAAACAACTATAATAAAGCCTCATGCTGTTTGCATCAAGCTTTTGACTCTGCCTGGCGATTGGGGTGACCGCCGTCCTGGGCTGAGATCCTGGAGGCCTGAGCATCTGGGGGCCTTACAGTAGTATCCCTTTCTGCAGGAGCCCCTTCTCCCAATCAAACCCCATTTTGGTGCGGAAGCATGTTTCCCTTGCCCTTTCACCCCTGCCTCTCCAGACTTACTATTTATCCTACTGCAACCTCTTTGCAAGAACCTGATGTGGGATGCCCTTCTGTATGCCGTGAATATATGTTTCTCTTATTGGTTAATGAGTAAATCTGTTTCGGCCAATGAAAAGACAGGATGTAGCCAGGCAGGAGTATAGGCAGGCCTACCATACTAGCTGAATCCTTGAAAGAGGTAGGCATAGAGGAGCTGCCAGAGAGACACCATGTATTCAACAAAGGAGTAATATACAGGAGCATTATAGATAATCTACAGCCTCAGGGCTATCCATAGTTTAATAGAAATGTGTTATTAATTAAATGAGAGCTAGCCAATAAGAAGCCTTCCACATTGGCCAAAGAGTTTATAATTATATAAGCCTCTGTGTGTTTATTTGGAACTAAATGGCCGAGGGAAGGGGTGGGCACTAGACTTCTCATAGCCTTGGCAATCCACGTATGCTTGGTAACCATGAGGTCATCCCCAGCCACCTGGTTGCCTGCAATAGCTGTGCACTTGTGCCGAGCTTCCTAGTTGTCCTACTCAAAAGGGTCTTCATTTGGCACCACTGGATACTTCCAGGTAAAGACTTACACAGGTCAACCATCTGGTCAGGTGTGATGTACCTGTTGCAATACACAGGAGATTTGAAGTCCAGTTCATACATGCCAGATCTGAGGCACTCAGAGGCTTCCATGTCCATGTCCATGACACCATGGTTAGTGTAGTTGGCCTTTGCAGTGGAGCCTTCAGCAGCTCCAAACATTCTTTGTTCTCTATGATGTTAGGGACAAGCTTGTCTTCATCACACACATTTGTGGAATCACTTTCTTATTTCTCCTTGATGACATTCTTCAGGTTTGGTAAATCTCTGCTACAGTGCATATGGCTTCCCTGAAATTGGGTGCCCCTACAAGCAGTGACATGAACTCTTGTAGGGCCAGTGTATTGTCAGCATGAGAACCATCATACATCACAGGGAAAGCTTGCATCTGAAGGAAGACTTGAGGGCTGTCAGCCAAGTCAGCGAAGTATGAGTACAGGGACTCACAAACCCCTTTCCATGGCACCAGCTTTTGAGACAGCCAGGGACACTTCCTGTATGGAATTTGCAGCAAATTTAGATTTATTTTCAGTGCCATCCATCTTGATGATCAGTTTGTCCATCTTCTCTTGTTCTACACATTCAGTTTCTTATAATCCAGAGCAGGTACAATAGTCTTACTGATGTGCTCAACTGTCTTGAGATCCCTTACCCAGCAGCACATGTTATCATTTTCTTGGAATTCTTGGGCCTTATAGATGTCAGTGGAGGCACTGTTGGTCACAGCAGCATGGAAGGGACCTTATGAGGTAAAGAGATCAACCTGAACATTTGGATTCCCCAAGAGTCAGAGATCTCTCTGGCACAAATCATGAGAATTGACATGGTGAATTTCTGGCCTTCATACTGCCACAAAACAAAGAAACAGTTTTCTGCAGACGCAGAAGAGAACATTGAGGAGAATTTTGTAATAATATAATATAAAAGAATTACTAAAGAAATCCTAAATTGAAACAAAATTGGAAATGTAAAATTTAGTAAGTCAACAAAATCCTCATAGCTAACCTCTTGAGAACAGTCAGCATCTTTTCTGCTTTGTCCATTAACACCAGGAATTCCTTAGAGATTGCAATATTGTGGACCAGTGTGAGTAATCACCAGCTCTGTGCATTGGGTTTCTAAGGTTATGTAAGAATCATTAGTTAGCCTTTCTCGTTAGGTCCCCAGCTTGTTCTCTATAATCCAGCACTATATAGTCCCGTTTGTTCTTCCTACAGTGTTCTGTATCAGGAAGCTCTTGCTATTATATTCACTTCAGGATTCAAGTGTGAGCTTGAACCATCACCAGCCAACAAGTAAGGGAGGTTTGTCATATCCACCCTTCATCATGTCCACACAGGGCCACAGTTTATTCATGTAAGTTCTGAGGGAATTGACGATGAAGAAGAGAGTACAATATTTATTACTTCTTCCTAATCATATGAACTATGATAATTTTGACAAAATGATTGTATAATAACTGTAATAAAAATTTGAGCCTCCCTACTGGAATTTTATATTCTTGGCTGTAATAGCAGTTCTCAAATTCTCATTCACCTATCCCCAGTGTCTCTTCTCCATACTCCTATGACCAATGAGAGCAGAAAATATGCTGAACTATGTTATTTCCTAATCAATAAAAGTACTGTGGTTATGCTGATGAGGGTGATTCAGTAACTACACTTTTGAAGAAAGATATTATGTGTGTTAGACTCAGGTGTTCCCTGTCTGAGATCTGAAATCTATACTTTTTGTATCTTACTTCATCTAAATAGTTCTTCCAAATGTCAAATTTATAAGCATTTACATAATTTTTGTTTACAGCATGTGAAAGAGTAAAATAGTGCTCAAGTAGAAAGGAGTGAAGTCTTGTGTGAACTTCTTTGCATGATCATGACACAAACGATCTTTTTGTGTAAACAGACATAGCATAATGGTTCATTCTAAAAAAAAAAGTGGCTCATGTTTTCTTTCCTTCATGGTTTCCGGATCCTTCAAAAAGGAATGTTCACCTTTGGTGTGTTAACTGTGGGTGTTATATCTAAGCTGTATTTGGAAGAGGCTGAGAACATTGAAAGAATATTTCAACTCAGTCTTTACTAGTTCCCCTGGTCCATGTTATCTTCTTTATACTTTATGACATGGTCTTATCAAGTTCCCTGCAGGAGTTCAGTGAACCTGCGCTCATTTGGATGCACCCTCTGAAGTGCTGGATTTACAGATCTACACATTCTGTGTTCTATTTTTCTGGATATTTTTGATGCTGTCAGCATCATTGCGAGGCTCAGCCACTAGGTTGCTAATGAGGAAATGAGGTCAGGTCCATGTATTATCTGTAGTCTGAAAACATGAGAGTTAAAAAAAGATACATGCTGTTAAGTCTTCTGGATATCTTCTTAAAACTATATGAATAGTAATTAATGAAAATATACATATAAGCATGAAATAATGAATGGACACAGAAGCTATGAATGTGAAATAGAGTAGGATGAGTTAGAGTATATAGGGAGTTGGAAGAGGGGGAATTGAAGGAAGAATTTTTACTATATTATAGTTTGAAATACAAAAATAACCAAATATAAAGCAAAAAGAAACCATGACAAAACAATCCAGAGTCAAAAATGACACATTTGTTTTGAATTATTTTCTCTGCTATTTATTATGTAAATTAGGATACTTTATTAGTAATTCTGAGACACATTAACTGTCATATGACCAAGTTTTAGTAAATATATTTTGTATGAACATTCATCCTTATATCAGAATATTTTGTATATTCATATAATTTACTACCTCTAACTTCAATGTTTTGATTTCATAGAGTGTACAGAGTCATTGCCACAGATGTGAAATGAACAATAAGTTTTAAACATTAAGTAGACCTTTTCTCCTCTCAAAATACTGACTTCCACATATTTGGTTTTGTTTGCATTTTCATTCCATTCTGGAATGTGACCTAGAAATTGATGCAAGATCAATATTTTGTTGTTTGATTTTGTGTTATGTACTTTTTGGGTCATCAAATGATATTAAGTCACTGTACTATTGGGTCATTAAAAATTGTTTTATGCATTCTCACCTGAAGATAAAAGAATGTATAGGCATAAAAAGAAATAAAAGTTAATCTTTTGTTTTGTGTGAAGACATACTTAAGAGTTTCACGTAATTATATGGTCCAGTTCTTTTTGGAAATACTTCCTAATAAACTCATATTTTCCATACTCATATTATTTTTAATTTGGAGAAATGAATACAATGCAAATTTTGTCATTTTGCAAATAGAGATAGGTTGATATCATTGGTATGTATGAGCATGTGGCTATGGAAAAAGTCATAAATTTTCTCTCAATTCATTGATTCCTAACTACAGCCACTGCCTTCACCATTGGAGACAAAGATAAATATGTTCAACATGTGAGTTCAACCCTATTGCATTATCTTGGAAGAAGTATAACTAAGTAGATTTAACTGTTTTTGACAGCATATAATAGAAGGACGTCTTTCACAGGAAAATCATCATGCAAATAGGATAATATTTATATGTGGTAATAGCATAATTCCAATAGTTTATAGGGTAAAACAGAAACAGGGTATTAGAATTCATTAGATTGTTGCCCATGTTCTTGAATCACTAATAATTTCTGTATTTTAAACCTTTTACATTTTGAGCAATTCAGTGTGCTCTGATATAAAACTGAACCTGAGATTTCCTCTGTAGCTGAAGTAAGAACATGAACATGTATTCACCAGGCTTAACTCACATGGGAATCACTGTACTGTCTGAGGAGGAGGGGGCTGAAACTAGGGTTCTGGGTCAAGCTGGCTGCATTTCAGAAAATCAGTGGCATTGCATAGAAACAGAAAAAGCATATTTTTATTCTAGGTATTTTACTGATATTATGTGGAGATGATCTCCCCAAATTAGCTTTGTAGCATAAAATTTCAACTGTATTTAATGGCATTACATATTTTTCACTTCTCTGGACATTTTAGTAGTTGTGGACAGAAATTTCCTGTGATAATATGGATTTAACTTACACATATTTAAAAATTGAAATAGAATTAGAGAAATAAAGAGTATATATATTAATTGGTTTTAAAATCTAATTAAGTTTTTAATAAAGGCTTCCTTAATCCCCAAATAAAAAAATGGAGAACAAATTTTTAAGTCAAAGAGAAAAAGAAACCTATACAAGACACTGGAACCTAAAATATTTTTCTGGATACAAATCACAAATTGTTATTATAAGATTTGGCCTTCACACTATCCGATATATTCTAAGAAAAATAAACTTGTTCTATGTTATTGTAATAAACAAAAAGACCTGTGTTTAAGTGCCTCAAATTTTCATATTATTTGACTGAGAGTTTTCCTAAAGTAAGACTTCTATAAAAGACCCATTTTGTCTAAAAGGTGTTTGCTTCATTTCACTGTATTTGTAGGCTAGTTTTTTTTTTTTTTTACAGTAATTCTGGCCTCACATCATATAGGTTACTGTATTCAATATGGCTCTCATAAGAGGTAACACATAAGCTGAAACAAAACACTATTTTGAGTATAACATTTGCCACAACTGAGTAATTATTATTGATGTCAATAAGATTGAGAAAATATCAGTATTTGCTTGACTCAAATTGTAAAGAAGGACTATAACCTGGTACCATGGTTAACAACATTTTTTGTTTACTCCAAAAGATGTGCAAGAAATAAAAACATGGGAAATGTAACATCTGCACCAGAATTCCACTTCATTCAACTCTCAGAGGATCCTGACCTACAGCCTGTCCTCTTTGGCCTATTCTTGTCCATGTACATCTTGGCCCTGTTTGGAAACCTGCTCATCATCCTGACAGTAAGCTCTGACTCCCATCTCCATACACCCATGTACTTCTTCCTCTCCAGCCTGTCCATGGTTGATATTGGTTTTATCTCCACCACTGTTCCCAGGGTGATTGTGGACATCCAAACCCACTGCCCAGTCATCTCCTATGTGGGCTGCCTGACACAGATGTCATTGTTTATAATTTTTGGAGGTATGGATAACATGCTTCTGGTTGTGATGGCATATGACAGGTTTGTGGCCATCTGCCACCCTCTGTATTATCAGGTCATTATGAATCCCAGTCGTTGTTGTGTCTTACTTCTAGGGTGTTTTCTCCTTAGCTTTGCAGACTTACTATTGCACTATGTGGCAGTAGTAGTAAATTTTTCCAACTGTGAGGATTATGTTGAAATTTCCAACTTCTTCTGTGACCCTTCTGAACTACTTAAAGTTGCCTGTTTTGATAATTTCACCAGTAGCATAGTCAGATACTGTGTAGGTGCTCTCTTTGGGTTACTTCCTATTTCAGGAATCATTTTCTCTTACTATAAAATAGTTTCCTCCATCATGAGATCATCATCATCAAGTGGGAAGCAGAAAACCTTCTCCACCTGTGGGTCTCATTTGTCCATTGTTTGCCTGTTTTATGGAACAGGACTAGGGGTGTACTTCAGCTCCTCTCTGTCACATTCTCCAAGAAGTGTTGCAGTGGCCTCAGTGATGTACACTGTGGTCACACCTATGTTGAATCCCTTCATCTACAGTCTGAGGAACAAGGACATTAAAACTGCCTTAAGGAAGATTCTTAGCAGAGTATTCTAATCATTGATATTCTTTATGCATTTATATTTATATATCTATATATTAACTGTACATGTAAATCTCTGTTAATATCTCACATTATTACTGATACTTCACAGGATTGCATGATATAGTGATGGTCATTGGAGCTGCACATATGGTGCATGGGTAGATGTAAAAGTTCACAGCAATTTCAAGTTGGAGAGATGAAACTTCTCTAGGGATCATTGGTACACATTGTTGAACAACCTTTTGCAATATGCGTGTAATCAACACCTAAAAGGTATGCACAGGAGCCAATTGAAAAGGGCTGTTCTGTTGAAATTGTGTTCTAGAAATGACAGAGAACCAGCATTGTCAACCAGGCTGTCTGAACAGGAAGTGAACAAGGAAGACAAACCAACACGCTAATGTGGAAGGACAAAGCTCAGTGGCCTCATCTTTAGACAGAGAAGGGATTCTGAGAACAGGAGACATAGCAACAGAGAGAAAGGCAATGGATTTGAAAGAGCAAGGGTGGGTTCATATGAAGTAGGGAGGGAGGGAGGTGGTAACTGTTCTATTTATATTATAATTTCATTTTTAAAATATCTAACAAAATTAATTACAATTTTAACAACACCCATAGAAGGGTGACACTTATCACCCCAGATATTAGATGTGGTACCTGCTATTGTGTTTACTTATGAAAAACATTATGCTTGTCACTTGACTCTTTTGTTTTCAAATATAGTCCCAATGTGAGCTGTCAGTATAGTGAGCCTGTTATTTCAAGTGAGAGAATTAAAGTTCATGGAAAAGGGTTGACATGAATTAAAATCCACTAATGAAACATGAGATGGCTGGAGTTCTCAATGTTCTTGTCCTTTCACAATATCCACGAAGCTGCAACAACAAGTCATTTTATAATGTAGAACAAATGGAGAAGAATGTAAGATTGATTCCATGTGGCTTATTTGAGGGGGGGGTTGCTGGAGTCATTAATATAAACATACACTTTACAAATTCAAAGTTATTTCTTAATATTGCAATATTTAATGTTTCTTGTAGGTACATCATTCAATAATGACACATTAATGTTTAATGGTTTAATTTACTGTGCGAATTTTAATAAATATTTTAATTTAAAGCACATTTACCATATCTACTACCAATTTTGTGATGCATACTAAAAGGATACTTCAAAAATTTATGCAGGACTTCAGATAATATTGGTTAAAAAAAACAAACATGGGCCAGGTGGTGGTGGCACATGCCTTTAATCCCAGCACTTGGGAGGCAGAGGCAGGCAGATCTCTGTGAGTTTGAGCCCAGCCTGTTCTACAAGAGCTTGTTCCAGTATAGCCTCCAAAGCCACAGCGGAACACTGTCTCGATAGCCCCCCAAACAAACAAACAAACAAACATGAAATAAACAAACAAATATGGTAGAATCAAAAAGCATGACTTTCATATAACAGGAAAACTGCTTGGGAAAATGAAACACAATAACTTTGTTATCATGAACTATTAATTTTAATTCAACATTTAGACAACAGTGCCCCTGGATATGTTATGGGCTTTAGTTATTCTAAACAGAGGGAAACTATATTATGGTCTCATAATATGTTGGCATAAACTTAAATGCTTTCTACTTTTCTTTGACTAGAGAGTTTTTCTTATATAGGAAAGGATGTACTTCATCACAATTCTGGGCTTCTTTTATGTAATATGTTTTTTTCAAATACTGTGATATTGAATGCAAATAATAAGCTTTGCATAGAAACATGAGAAATTAAATAGCAAAGAGACTCTCTGCTTCTACCTCCAGTGGAACAGGCTGATAGATCTCTTATAGACTTCCTCAGGACCATATCCCCTTGTCTTAGCCTCAAGCTCCAAAAACATTCCCTTGAAGTTCTCTAGCCACACAGTCCAGGGAATCAGATGTGCATATTCCTGTCCTCAATTCTAATTTATCATCCTGTTTCCCAAACCTGTATCACAATACCTGTTATTGCCTCTATTTCCTTTTTGTCTACATTCTTAAGGGTCTAGGCAGATCCTTTTGGCATAACCTTGCTTTCCTCCTAACTGTGGATCCTGCAAACTCCCCTATCCAGACCACACATAATCCCAATAGTCAGTTCCCAATACCTAAAATCACATTGTACCCAGAAACCCTAGTGGCCACACATGCATCTCAGAAGCATTTCCTGCCAGGCAACCCACAGCCACCACAGTCTAGTAAGAACCAGTGAAGGAAACTGAAACCAAGGAACAAGACACTCACCCAACGAAGACAAGACCAGATGTTACCATCTGAAATGACAATCATCCCGAGTCAAGATACCTCTATACCAATGTAAATATATAATCAATAACAGACAGAGCAATATGCACTCTCTAGTACATAGGAAAGCAATAGAACAGGCCCAAGTAATGCAATAGAGCTGAAGCACAGGGCAAGTTGCATTGCTAACACAAATTTAGGTGCATAAAAAAGATACAAATTAATGCATCCATAGAATATAAAAATTAACTGTGGAATAAATTGAAGAAAAGAGTTCAAGATATGACAATGAAAATAGTATTGATAAGGAATACCTAACTGAGGTGAAATATGACATGAAAAATTTAGGAACTAGAAAAAGAACTACAGGGACAAGCTTCACTGGCAGAATATTCTAGATGGAAGAGAAAATGTCATACTTTGAAGACAAGATAGGAAAACGAATACTGTAGGCAAAGAAAATGTTAAAAATAAAAAAGTCAGAAACAAAATACACAGGAAATCTGGGACATTGTAAAAATATCTAATCTAAAAATAATAGGAAGAGAAGAAAAAGAAGAAATCAATTCAAGGGCACAGAAAATATTTTCAATAAAACCATAGGAGAACATTTCATAAACAAAAGAAGTAGGTTCATATCATAGTCTAAGAAGCATATCAGAACACCACATAGACTGAATCAGGAACAAATTTCCCAATAAACCCAATAATCAAAACACTGAAAATGCCGAAAACGAAAGACTATTAAAGCTGCAAGGAAAAAGGCCAAATTACATGAAGGCATCAGCCTTATTAGACTAGCACCTGGCTTCTCAATGAAGACTCTAAAATCCAAAAGGGACTGGTAGAATGTTATACAAACTCGAAGAGACTACAGATGCCATGCAGACCACAACGTTCTTTAAAATTTTAAATGAGGGATGGATAAAGACATTCTATGATGAAACCAAATTTAAGAAATATAAATCTCCCTCTCATTTACCAACTCCAGCAAGGCAGTTGGATGCTGCACACAACTTTGGTGGAATCCCATTGTTCTGGTGCAGAACCCAACAGCAGGCCAGCAACTGAGAGACCTGTGTTCAGGCTGCACCACCACCTCTGCCACCCACTTGAATCTGTTCCCAGAAGACCCTCTCTGCCACCCATTCATGCCTACCACATCATCCTCCCCTATGGCCAACCATGCCCAGCAATACCAGCAGCCCTTCTAGGTACAAGCATCACCTATACCAGTTGGAAAAACAGGTGAGTGACTGGGAGACCAGTCACTCATATGACCAAAAGACCAAAATTATTATTTCTATGAAATGTACAGCCCTGGGAACCCTGAGTCTCAGTGTAGACCAGGCTTAGTTCCCTGCCAATTCTCTCAGCCTTCCCTTTCAGTCTATCTCCATTCTGTTGTGTCATCTTTGATCCCCACAAACACTTTCTACCAGTGATCTCAAAGGGCTGGGACTTACTTTCCTGTCTGCCATCACCATTTTCCAGTTTCACAGTCCTGTAGCAGTCTATTTGCTGAAGTACCTCCTCTAATGCTACCTTCTGGGGACTCTGCTACTTGCTGTAGACCTAGCTAGGTCTCTCCTGCTGACCCTCTCAGTCTTTCCTTGTGTAGCCTTGTTGTAGGAGAAGTGGCCTTGTTAGAAAAGACATGTTACTGGAGGTAGGATTGTAGGTTTCAAAAGTCCATACCAGGCCCAGTTTCTCTCTGTGTCTCTCTGCCTGGTGCCTATGGGTCAGGGTGTAAAACTCGCAGTTACTTCTTCAGTGCCATGCCTGTCTGCTTCCTTCCATGAACCCTGTAAAACTGTAAGCAAAATTCTAATTAAATGCTTTCTTTCATGAATTGCCTTGGCCATGGTCTCCTCAGAGCAATAGAACAGTTACTAAAATAGAACTTGGTACCAGGGACAGGGGTAATGCTGTGACTGGCTTGACCTTGCTATTTGCTGGACCAATGTGAAAGACTTTGAGATTGTGGACTAGAAAGGCAGGTGAACATTTTAGGTGGGCATTAATAGTCCTCCTAGTAGAACATGGAAGACAGAAGTGCTAGGTTGGTTTGGACTATGGTGGTCCAGCTCTATTGGCTTTAAAGGAGAATTATATTGAAGAACATTCTTAAGTATTTTGTGAAAAAAATGTGTCTGCTTTTTGTCCTTGTCCTAAGAGTTTTCCTGAGGCTAAATTGAAGTTTTGGATGAATGGTGTTGACAGAGGAGATCTGAAGTGAGTCTAGTATTGCTCTAGTTACATAGTTATTAGTCATCACTCTTATGCACTATAATGAAAAGAGCTACCTGGGCAAAGAGAAATATTGTACAATTTTAGGAGAAATGGAGCACTAGGAACTGTAATAGTGGATCCAACTCTTGTTTTTCAGGGAGATAAAAAGTTTAAAGAAAAGCTAATTCAAAATGGAATAAAGGGAGTAGTGTTCTTAGGGCAAAGCCCCACTCAACTAAGCTTTCTTCTCATGAAAATGAATTAAGGGAAATCTTAATCAGCAAAACAATCAACAATAGAAATATTATGCAAATGCAATTCAAGATGGGGGACTCAGAGGTAGAGAGTGGGGGTGATGGAGATGGGCTGAAGGTTCTAGCCCCATCAAGCAGAACAACAAAAGTGTTGTGGTATTTTTTTGTCTCTCCAGGTCCTGTTGCTACATTGCCCAAAACAAACACATAGATGCTAAATTATTAAATTATTGGCTGATGGCGTGGACTTATTTTTAAAATTTT